GTAGTACTGTTACTGTGTGGTAGTAGTACTCTCACTGTGTGGTAGTACCGTTACTGTGTGGTAGTAGTACTGTTACTACAGTAAATGAGTCCTGGTGGTAAACGTCACTACAGACTCTACATCCAGACCCACAGGAGACAGAACCTCAAACTAAACTCCATTCACGTTTATCTCCTTATTTCAGATTAAACCAGAGGAATAAATGAGGTTCTTTAGTTAAACGGTAAAACGGTAGAAAACACCGGCTCGTTTTCTACCGTTTTACCGGAACAGAGCTCGGTCCGGTTGAGGCCGAATCACCGACAGCTCGGTTCTAACACATGTCGTCATCATTGAGTCGGGTCACGTGTTCGTTAGAGCTCTTTAGACTCGGTTCTTTAAACGTTCTGTTTTATGAATGGAGTTTGGCGACAGGTTCTAATTCCCACCGATCCAGAGGCTAGCTCCGTTAACTTAGCTACAAACCGGCTCCGGTCGGTCGGTGTGTTTACCGGCGATGACGCGTCGGTCTCCATCACTCCGGTCCGGTTCCGTTAAAAATGAAAGTTGCGTCTCGAGCGAACAGCAGCAACTTCTTCTTCTGCAGCAGCAGCTGGAGCAGACTTCCGGGGAAAGTTCAACCTCCCAAAAAAAAAAAAGGGAAAGTCTGAAAAATTAAATTATATATACAACATCCGGTCTGAGTTTTGTTCCCGGTTTGACAAACTTTATATTCACCAATGAACATTTCTAATAAAATGTGATGAAATATTTGAATGAGTTTTTAACCTGGAGACAGAAATCTGAATATATAATTGCAGTTTAATATGTACACCTTTACTGATCATTAGTCTGAATATTTAATATGTATTTAAATACAGAACTAAATGGACAGAATACATAAATATACACTGCTCAAAAAAATAAAGGGAACACTTAAGCAACACATTCTAGATCTGAATGAATGAAATAGTCTTATTAAATACTTTGTTCTTTACATAGTTGAATGTGCTGACAACAAAATCACACAAAAATTATCAATGAAAATTAAATTTATTAACCCATGGAGGTCTGGATTTGGAGTCACACTCAAAATTGAAGTGGAAAAACACACTACAGGCTGATCCAACTTTGATGTAATGTCCTTAAAACAAGTCCAAATGAGGCTCAGTAGTGTGTGTGGCCTCCACGTGCCTGTATGACCTCCCTACAACGCCTGAGCATGCTCCTGATGAGGTGGCGGATGGTCTCCTGAGGGATCTCCTCCCAGACCTGGACTAAAGCATCCGCCAACTCCTGGACAGTCTGTGGTGCAACGTGGTGTTGGTGGATGGAGCGAGACATGATGTCCCAGATGTGCTCAATTGGATTCAGGTCTGGGGAACGGGCAGGCCAGTCCATAGCATCAATGCCTTCGTCTTGCAGGAACTGCTGACACACTCCAGCCACATGAGGTCTAGCATTGTCTTGCATTAGGAGGACCCCAGTACCAACCGCACCGGCATATGGTCTCACAAGGGGTCTGAGGATCTCATCTCAGTACCTAATGGCAGTCAGGCTACCTCTGGCGAGCACATGGAGGGCTGTGCGGCCCTCCAAAGAAAAGCCACCCCACACCATTACTGACCCACCGCCAAACCGGTCATGCTGGAGGATGTTGCAGCCAGCAGAACGTTCTCCACGGCGTCTCCAGACTCTGTCACATGTGCTCAGTGTGAACCTGCTTTCATCTGTGAAGAGCACAGGGCGCCAGTGGCGAAGTTGCCAATCTTGGTGTTCTCTGGCAAATGCCTGCCCGGTGTTGGGCTGTAAGCACAACCCCCACCTGTGGAGGTCGGGCCCTCATACCACCCTCATGGAGTCTGTTTCTGACCGTTTGAGCAGACACATGCACATTTGTGGCCTGCTGAAGGTCATTTTGCAGGGCTCTGGCAGTGCTCCTGCTGTTCCTCCTTGCACAAAGGTGGAGGTAGCGGTCCTGCTGCTGGGTTGTTGCCCTCCTACACATCTCCTGATGTACTGGCCTGTCTCCTGGTAGCGCCTCCATGCTCTGGACACGACGCTGACAGACACCACAAACCTTCTTGCCACAGCTCGCATTGATGTGCCATCCTGGATGAGCTGCACTACCTGAGCCACTTGTGTGGGTTGTAGACTCCGTCTCATGCTACCACTAGAGTGAAAGCACCGCCAGCATTCAAAAGTGACCAAAACTTCAGCCAGAAAGCATAGGAACTGAGAAGTTGTCTGTGGTCACCACCTGCAGAACCACTCCTTTATTGGGGGTGTCCGTCTTGCTAATCACCTATAATTTCCACCTGTTGTCTATTCCATTTGCACAACAGCATGTGAAATTGATCGTCAGTGTTGCTTCCTAAGTGGGCAGTTTGATTTCACAGAAGTGTGATTGACTTGGAGTTACATTGTGTTGTTTAAGTGTTCCCTTTATTTTTTTCAGCAGTGTATTTAAGAAGCACCCCTTGAGAGTAATCGGAGTATTTTAATGAGTTTCTTTAAACGCCGTCGATTAATTATAAAGAATAAAACATAAGCGTCATCAACTGTGGATCATATACACGTATTTAGTACAAAGCTACAAGCACTTCGAAAATAAATATTCTACTTCTGCTGCACATTTATCAGTTGTTAGAGAATAGAAGCTCATTAGTACCTTCACCGAGGCATTAGTACCTTCACTGCAGTATAAACAGAAGTATTAACATCAGATCTAGGATCAGTTATGAGCAGAAACACAAGAGTTAATTACTTTTTATTAAAAACAACTTTTATTAATAAATAATAAGATTTATATTCATATACATCAGTCAAAATCAACAGTTCTCTCCAGCATCCTGGCGTGGTCCAGCAGGGGGCAGCAGATGCTTCTGAACAGGTGAAGAAAGTCTTTAAAACAAGCCAATAATAATAATAATAATAATAATAATAATAATAATAATAATAATAAAAGCTGAAACAAACAGCAGGAAATATAAAGACTCCTGAGTCACATGACCATCACATGACCCTGCTGACCTGGGATCAGACGAACGCTTCGGTCGGTCTTTGTCACAGCACCCCCCCCTCTCTGAGAACACTCTGCCTGAGGGGGGGGGGCGCTACAATTCGGCCTTTTGTTCACATCATCTCCCAGCAGACCTAAGCCCCGCCCACTCAGCAGATTGATGCATGTTGAAATGTGACAAGTCACTCACCACCAGTGTGTGACATCCCGGCCTCAACGATGACGTCACCGCTTCGAT